TGGATCAATAACAATTTTAGATCTTGTAAAAGCAACGAAGATGTTCAACCTATTTTCTGCTGCACCCAAGAGAAAGACGAGTATCCCCATCCACGAAGAGGAGCTAATTTGGCATGAGATGACAAATAGACCGTAAGCGTTAAGTCAAAAATTAGAAAAATAAAAATCCGTTTCAGACACCCAGTTTGCCAATTTTTCAAGTGTTACGATGGGTACCTACGAACAGCAGAGGAGCGAGTTTTGGGAAGGGTTATTTGCAAAACATGCGAATGGGAAAAGACGGCATCAAAAATTCACCCAACAACGGATAGTATGATTCAACACCTTGAAGAATGTGAAGCTTCGCTATACCTTCAGGTTTGTATTAACTAAACAATTACTTTAGTTTATGAAATTATATCGATCTATTTGATAAATAGTATTTATAATTGATAGGTAAATTATCATTATTCATAAATTAATTAATAATTAACGAATTCATAATTGTCGATTTCATTAATCTTACTAATTTTTCAGTACCTGAAGCTTATGAAAACCTGGAAGAAGGTTGATACGCGAAAAAGTAAGTAAAAACCAATAATTTTTATTTTTATCGTTGGTCATCAATACGTAATTTTAACTTATTTATATTTGTGTTTGTATCGCTATTTGGTTATGTTGCTTATTTAATGTAATGTGGCACACTTCAAAATCGGGGTTTGAAGTTTTCATTTCAGAAAGAAACCCACTGATGCGCAGCAGAGCTCACCAAAATGCGCTAAAAATTAACGCAGTGATCAGGGTATGCAAATTGCGACAAAACCATTAAAAATATATTTTTCAGAAACAATCAATAACAATTAACGCGGCAGAGGTGAGGGCAAGGCTCGAAAAGTCACCAAAATACGCTCAAATTAGCCCCAAAAAAATTAAGGTGGAAAGGAATTGGGAGCAGATAAGCGAAGGGAGTACGAAAGGTGAGAACTTTGTTGAATTTACTGATTTATGCAGATTTTAGAAAATACCAGCAAAAATGCTGCCACTTCTACCTCTACTTCAAGATTCATGATTCCTAAATTATCATACTCATATGGAGAAGATGTAAAACCAGATGTCACTCGCTTAAAGGGTAATTTTGCCGTAATTTTTTTAAAATATAATTTTTGTTTTTCAGAAGACCACTTGAAAAAGAACTTAACTTATCGGGAGTTCTCGAATTCAGCAGCATCGAAAACGAAAAATAATTTTAACCCAATCAACGTCAAAATCGAACCAAAGAAGCCCAAACTTTTCAGCCACAACGAAATTTTGAACTCGTATGCGATGCGTAGGGGTTGAAATTTTTTTAATTGTTTGTATTTTTTATATTCACAATCTTTTCTAACGTTTTTTCTTGATTGTTATTTCTCTACCCTATTCTACCTCAATTTAGCGATTACCTCTGTTCATAAATCCCATAATTTACTTACCGACTTGTTAGTCCGATGATACTCAAATTCTTTACTTGTCGTTTTTGTATTATGATAAAATATTCATAAATTTTTAATATTGATTTTTGAAAGACTGCGCCGCATTTTGATCGAAATTTTAGAGCGCTTTGAATAAAGAAATGTTTGCTCAACTCAGGCTTGTTTTTACACGGCATCTTGTTTTGGCTTTTTTTCGATATCTTAAAATATGGTATAGTTTTAATTTTAAACCAGTTCAAAACATCTTTTCAAAATATTTCCAAAGCTCTATTTTTCGAAAATTACGTTTCGAAAATTAGATACCTCGACATCACCAAATGCAAATTTTTCCCTTAGCTTCCTACGCGCAGGCGTGCAAACATGGTGGCAAGAAACACCGGCCCGAAACATGCCCTTTAGGAAACTTATCTGCATCCGCGATCTCCCAAACATGTTAACCAGGCTCAGGCTCCTTGCAAAACAGGAGACCAGCCTGTCACCGAGGTGATTCATCCCATGTGTCCGGGTAAAGAATAGCAGGTACATGTAGGCGGCCCTCGCCCCCCCCGAGGCGTGACATCCTGAACCACGTCAATCAACTGTCACCTCCGCCTCCCCCTCGGACTATTTAAAATAGAGGAGCAGCAGGTAGAGCAGGCCTCGGTTGAGCCTCACACAACTTGCTGCCAAACGACCAAATTTCAGCGATTTGAAACGTTAAACGTTAACCCAATACTACCTTGAACAATACCCGCCGGACAAAAAAAATATTGTTTTCTAAAATTATTGATGTTGAGTTTTGATGATGATTATTGAGCGACTGCCCAGGGGAATGCGCTTGTTTTTAGCTAGAAATCAGCAAGTAATAGGCGGGCGCTTCACAAATTTCTAGTTCACAAGGCTTTTCGAAAAAGATCTAATTTGGCCACACTTTACTGCACCCCCCCCCCCCCCCAGCCGGAAGGGTTTGGCTATACCTTTTTTATTTTACATTATTGTAGGCTCAAATTAAAACTCTGAGTACATTTATTTTTCGACGCTCTATCGATTGGCGTTGCAAAATTCCCGACAGAAAAGTGAAAATGCGTTGAGACACTTCAGCTGCGGGGGGAGGGTAAGTCTTACCTATAATTCATGTTTTTTATGAAATGAATATGCTGACGATACAAGCTACACCACATTGGCTTTCTCGCCTTTTCCTGAGCTTTCGATCGGTGCCTGATTCGTAAAAATTGGACAATTTCCGCTAAGCTACGGGTCGCGTTTTATTGCGAACGCGCCCGGAGTACGGTAATTTCGCGGAGTTCAGTGTCTCGAAAACGGGCTTACGGTATTTTTCGGTATCTTCCCATATCTATTCAGGGTCAAGCACAAGATGAAAAAGTCTCGATGTTTCCACACTCTTCCCTTGACAGTAGCTTTTCCCAGAAAAGCCTTCCCATGGTCGAAAACTCCGCTTACTCACCACCACTTCACGGTAACCTCTTCCAATTAATTTTTACGACTTTCAACATAGTCCCCTCACCCCATTTTTTCAAGGTTATACGAGCCAGATTAGCTACGATACCGCTTTTCCCTCAGTTACCCTGTCCCTCCCTACCGCACGCCTCCCTCGCCCTCATTGGCTCGTGCTCGCCCCCGTTTTGTCCTTCTTTTAGCTCTCTCTTTCTCTACCCATTCTCTCACGCCCGCCCGTGCCTATATAAGGCCGGCCGGGCCACGGTTTTTCCACTATTCCTGGCTACAGTTTTCCCTTTTTTTTGCTTTCTTTTCTGCCCACGCTTGACTACTGTAGCCCCAACCGTAAACCCTCCATCGTAGGACCCCGTTGCGTTTTACTAACCTTTAATAAGTATGCTTCTGTAACTACCGTAATCTAGAAACCTTTTATTCATTTTATGATGATATCTGTTTATTGATATATCAATTATTTTATCAACTATCAAAATCTATCCGATTTATCAAAATTTGGTACAGTTAATTTTAAAAAAATTGTTTACGTGTTATCGAAACTTTAACATCACAACTTAATGATATAAATATAATTTCCAGCTAGCGGATTATATCTTAAGTTTTTCGCTGTGGCTCCGATTCGCCTTTGAGCCTCACCCTCCCCTTATAGCCGAGCTCCCCTGAGAGATAGTCCCGATTCGCATTTGCTGACGCTATAAAATTCAGGCTATAAATGCTCGGGCCGCGCTCCCAGGGACGGGCAGTCGGACCTGGCGCTCCCCGGGGCGATGGGACCTGGAGCTCCCCTACAGTCAGAACAGGCGCTCCCGCGGGCAGGACCTGGCGTTCCCGTGCCGTCGCGCCTAGTGCTCTACCGGGCAGTCGGACCTGGCGCTCCCCGGGTGTAGACCCCGCGCCTGCCATTCCTACCCTGCTACCGTATCCCATTTCCCTGGAACTCATTTCTTATTTTGCGATCCACTTCCATAAACTGCCCAAGTTAAAATAAGGTTTTATATTTTCCTCAGGTTTAATAATCGTTGAGCATATCTGCTCCCAAAATTGCCATTTAATTCGGCCCTGCGACGGGACTTTGTTTAAGCTTTTAGCTTGGCGTGGCTAAAACGCCTATCTGATCGGGATAGGAATCTTGATTGAAGCATAGTTTGGGGCTTGGGCACAAGGGACGCTGCCATCCGGCGCTTCCGGATTTGCATACGGATTTGTCAATGCTATTGGCTAGCGGTAATACATCACATAGGCCAGATGCCAAAGAGAAACAGCTTGTAGGCCAGGGATGTAGTATGCTGCAGACCAAAAGGATTTTTCCCTTTTCCTTATAACTAGAATCTCTTACAGATTGGGAAAACCAGCCCCCAAAATTAGGTCGGAAATTGAGGGAAGGGATTAACCCGGAAATCCGCGGCATATCGACCGTTTTTGCTGACGAGGTTTTATCCTGAGGCTCCCCGGGGGGAGTTTCGAAACTCCCCTACCGCTGTCCAGTCCAATCTTTTTGGGATTTTCTCCATTTCCTTACCTGTTTCCCTTTCCATTTTTCACTTTTTTAGTTTTTCTTTCACTTCATGCTTTTTTCATTTTTTAAACCCCCCTAAAACCATGTATTAAAGGGATGCCGCCGGCATATGTAGTCAATCGGTTACGCGCTGGAAAAAATGTCTCTGCGCCTCTACCCTGGGCGCGCTCTTTGCCCTGTTGACGACTTGCCAATTTGTCGATGGGGGATCGACACATGCCGTCGGAAACCCGGCCCTTAAAGGGCAGGCGCTGGGGAGGAAAGGGGGAGGGGGGGGGGGCCGGGGCCGGGCGCCGCCCCGGGGGCGGGCCGGTAGTGGGGTGCCCGCCCGGGGAGGGGGAGGGGGGCGCCCCACCCGCAAAAAGGAGGGAATGGCCTGTCACAAAAGGGAAAAAGGCTTTTTAAAAGAGTTATATAAAAAAAACCCCTCAACGGCCCTTTAAGAAAATCCTTGCCATGTCGATAATATTATTTTGGAATTCATATTTGCTTAAAATCGTTGTCATTTTCATTACGTTGTTCTCTTAACAAAAAGAACACCCCACTAAAATATCTCAATTTCAGATCTGGCCGATTTGTTTGCGATGGGATTTCCATGTGCTGCGAAGTGCCAGAAAGCCTACGACTCCAGAATCTTCTGGCAGCAGTCGAAAAACCGATCGTAAGTCCTGAATCCAAACATACCAAATTACACATACCCTGCTTTAGACATCCGGTTTTCTGTTTCTTCGTCTGCTACGATGGCTTCCTGGAAGGCGTTGGGTCGGAACGTATCGCCGGCCGGGTCGACTGTATGGCTTGTAAATGGGAAAGACGGACGATGAAGATTCCGCCCGGCATCAAGGAGCTCGTTCAACATCTTGAGGAGCGCCATCCAGCCGAGTTCAAGCAGGTAAGCAGATTTGAGACTTGACAAAAATATTAATCGATTGTTTCGTCCTTTAGCATCTCCCGGGGTAAAAACTAACAAGTAAACTTTCGGTGGGATCCAATTTTACCCCGCGGAGATACTAAACGTCCTTGGGTTGCAATTTGTAGGCCAATAAAAACTTTTTAAAGGGACAGGCAATGCACGAATGTGTATATTTAAAATTTTTTGGTGTAATCGTGCGTCGCCTGTCACTTTATTATCATAACGAAATTTAAGAACAGTACCTATACAAATATTTTCAGTACGATGAATTGAGGCGCGCCGGGCTACCATGGATGAATGTGGATACGAGAAAAAGTAGGTTCTAAAGCATAAAGACAGATCATCGATATTTTAGTTAGACGCCACAGCGGTTCAAATGCTCTACCTGCCCAATCGAATCACCTGGATATCGTGGCTGTTCCAAAAGTAAGTTGCTTAACGAAAAATTTACGTAAAATTTCAAGTTTCATAGATACGATTTTGATTAGCGAATTAAATGATTTCTTCTATTCATTTTTCAAGGACAATCAAAAGCAATATTTTTCAGAAACAGCCGATCAAAACAAATGTGAAAGAAATCGTCGCCAAACTTCGGAACCCGTCGACTACCAACAACACCACTCTGACGATCATCACCCCCGCCAAACCACCAAAACTTGACGGGAATGCCAACTTCATCACCGACCCATCCAGATGCCAACAGGATGCCCAGAAGCTTCACAAACACATGAAAGCTGAGCCTTTTTCAGATTCTGACGACGGGGTGACCGCTCCATCTAAAAAATCACCGGCTTCACTGCCTTCGAATGCAAATCAAGTGGGGCTAGGCGTTCCTAAGGAAGGTAAGCCTATTCAGAAAATTCCGTAGATGCAAAATTGTCTTATTAAGGACCAGTGGAAAAACCGCTTCGCGGCCTTTTTCCACTGGTCCTAGTATGTTTAGAAATGAAAAGTTTTTATAAAAAATGATTTTAGAAGCAATCGTGATGAAAAGAAAAAGTACCTCAATTGGAGCTGATGATGGAAAGATGGTTGGGCAGGTAGTAAGGGTCAAACCGGAGCCAATGGCTGACGAGCCGCCGGGTAAATAACAGTAATTAATGGGAAAATGTAAAAATTACCTTAAAATATAAATATAAATAACTTAAATAAAAAAAGGTGGGAGGGGGATAGATAGACAGAGGGAGAGAGAGAGAGAGAGGGAGAGGAGAGAGAGAGAGAGAGAGAGAGAGACGGGGGTAAGGGGGGAGCAATAAAAGCAAGTAAGTACCGAATATTACTAACGCCAAGCCCTAATCGTTTCCAGCAAAAATCCGACAGCCCGTCAGCCATCAAAAAATTCTAAAATCAGCATATCCATCAAATTACAGTCACTGATCTCCACACATTTTTGATTCCGGTCACAATATTTGTGTTTGGCTACACAAAAATTCTAAAAACACAGACACGCAACAAAATTCCTTAAAATTTTTTCAGGTTAACTTGAAAATTTTCATGTAATTATTTGGTAAGTTTTGTGTTTTTTATTAATAAAGTTAAGCCTATTTCTGGGGAAATAGGCATCCAGCTACGTCTTCGCTGCTCCAATTCTTTATTTGGACTTCGTTTACTTTGTAATTATTGCCATAGCAAAATCAGAAAAAAAAACAGCAAAAGAAAAAGAGCAAAAAAATGACTTGCCCGACTGATCTCAAATTGTTATGGCTGTTGTGATTTTGTTGTTGTAATGGCGAATAAATGTTGTATATATTGGCAAATATGCTCAAATTGCACAGAAAAAAATTAGAAAGAAAATTGAAAAAGTTTGACGGTTTTGAGAAAGATTAAAAAAGAAAGCTTAGAGATTTAGAAATACAGAATTTTTGGCAGCGTACGGTATGGCACAAATAAACTGAACGTTTTATGTCCTGGGGTAAGCTTATTTGGCTCGAGAAAGCTATCAAACCTAACCTATGATAGGCCTGTGGCTAGCTCTTGAATATTGGCTATTTCAACCTCTTGTAACCCGCTGACCAAGAGGCCAAAGGTTACTGCCGAAAAGTATCACGAAATTCTTTTCGTTGAGCGTTTGGTTTCGTCTGCGTCTACGCTCCTGTTTCTTACTGTAAGGACATGGCCGTTCGGAGGATTTGGTCATTTATGGCTCCAACCTTTTGGTATAAGTTGGGCACAATCAAAGCCGCTTAATAAGGTTTCGACGGGCCTGGCTCACCACGCACACGATGTAACCGACCATACCAATTACAATTAGTGTCAGTGATCCGCAGTGGTGGGCCCTAAACCGGAAGTGGCAGAATCCCACCCATGCTATAGACTTTACGAAATTGTTTTGTTGCGTTATACCTAGTCGAAACTTTGGATGATACTGTTGTGAAATATGATGCAAATATTAATGTGTTTCTGAAATAATTTTCCTATCCCCGATGAATTTTTTTATTTACTTCCCGGCTTTTTGTGATTTCCTCTGTGAACACTTCTGAATTCATGAAATCACCATGCCTCGGCGAAATTCTGGATTATTTTCCGCGCACCCGGTTAAACTTAGCATTTATGGGCCAGCCTGGAATTGCCTTGGCCGAGGCGGACCCTAGAAATTGCGAAAATCGGATCCCAGAATGGAAATTAGTGGCCCGTGGACACCTCGGCGGGGTGCCAATTTTGCGGATTTTGACGAATTCTTCCTGGTTCTTCGCAATCGTTGGGTTTTTGGCACTGCGATTTTGCTTGTACAGGGATTTGGGCACCGATTTTTTTAGTCGAGATCTATTTCTGGCCCTGATAATGATAGCCGGGTTGTGAAGTTTTTTTGCCTGATTGCGTGGGGACAAACAGCTTTTTGGATAGGTCAGGATCCGTTTTTGGACTCCTAGCCTACGGCGAGTTAGGCACACGTTTTCCGTCGAAAAGTTGTGGTTTAGTTTAAAAAAGAAGAGACAGAGCGACCGAGAGAGAGAGAGAGAGAGAGAGAGAGAGAGATAAGGAGATACAGACACATATTTTGATACCTAGAGGATCCGATCACGTAGTCAAATCCCCAGGGATCCCGAAAAAAAAACCAATTCCGGAAGCAGGCTAGGTACCAACGTTGTGTTTTCAAATAATTTGGCACGCGAAAAGGTGTCTAGAACTTTTTGGCTCCTCCACTCTTGCCTCCCTGTTTTTAGCTAAAGATCTCGGCCGATCAAGTCGGTAATTAAGAACAAAATGGACATAATAATACCCCGGCCCTCGTCTTTCTCTCTTTATATCTCGCACTCTCTCTTCCTAGCATTCTCTCGCTCTCCCGTTCTCTCTCTCTCTCTCTCTCTCCCTCTCTTTCACTCGCTCTAAAAATTCTTTTCTGTCTCCCTCTACCTCAGTCTCTCATTTGGTCCGCGTCAAGTTTTGGCCAGAATTCTGAATTTCAGCGGAAACCCTACGCAATGGCGAAATTCGTGGAAGAGGCCATGACCACATTAAAGGTAAGTTAATGCAGGTTTTAATTATAAACTTTACCTACATCAATTTAATGCAAAACTTTAGGTAATTCTCTGTGTCCTCACCACCGTCACCTTCATTTTGCTTACGATTTTTATCAAGATCCTCTGCTCAAAAACGGTAAATAGCTGGTTTGTAGATTCTTAAATGCTAGAAAACAACGAAGTTTAAAAGAAAATAGCAATAACGTATCGTTAAAAAATAAAGCTGTAAATGTTTTTTACCTAAACGTTTCCTTTCCAGTTCTGCCACCCGAACCTCCGTTTCCTCCTCGTCATCCAGCCGGTATTCCAATGGCTATCCTTATTAACAAATTCCCAGTATGATATCGTGGTATTTATGCAAATTGAGACGAGCTATGGCTACCGGACGTTTTGCTCCTATTTTAAGGATTTTGGCAAGTGATTTTCAGTACAAAAATCGTCAATTGTGACGGAAAATTATTTTACATATTTGTAGGACTGATGGTAGCCACGACCCTGATGCTGCCCGTTTCTATCGAAAGACTATATGCCACTTTACACCCCGAAAAATACGATCGTATGCATCAAAGAGTGCCCGTTCTGGGAATATTTTTATTAATTTGCATCGTAAGCCATTTCCTAACTGAAGAAAAAGTTGGTTAATTCAGTGCTTAATTTGCATGCTGCAGCTGTTGCTTCTTTACAATCGTAAGTTGTAACCTAAAATAACTACGGTCTTTTTTAGGCATAATTAGCGTCTACGTTATTTATATAAACATATTTGTGCTCTTCACGATAGCGACATTGTTTTTTATAATATTGCCATTAACGAGTAGGAGGTTATTTCAAAGGGCTGCGAATAAGCGAGAGAGCACGGTGGCAAAACGGTACGAGAGAGAGAGAGAGCGAGGAAGTGAGAGAGAGAGTGAATGAGACAGAGAGAGCGAAAGAGAGAGAGCCATTTTCCGTTTTCCAGCTATCAAACCGCCGAAAATATGCGCTCGGCTCATCTCCTAAAATACATCTCGGCCTACAAAACCGTCACCAATTACATGAGTTTATTTTTATATTTCCTATGCGCGGAGCAAGACGCGTATTGGTACTATTTTCTCACCGAACTTTACTATTACTGGCTGGTAGTTCAGGTGGGTGCGGCACTTTTTGGCCCTAAAAATCAGTAAAGGTCGGCAATTTTTTTGGTTAATAACGGGTTTAAAAATTGTCATTTTTAAAGGTTGTCCAGACCAGAAAGGCGCCTGTAGGTCGGAATCTGATAGACTTAGCCAACAAACTTTGTGACAATCTGTAAATTTTGAATCGCATTTTTAGATGACCTGCTTGATGATATTGACCATCTTCGCCCATGAAACTCTAAAATTTGAATTCTACAGAACATTTAATCTACGCCTAGGCGTCGTTGTTGTAAAGGACCAACCGGTGGGTGTAGAAAATACAACAATTTTTGCTGCAAAAGGTATACTTTAATTACCTGCGCACTTTTGCTGGACCTTCAAAAACGTTCGGTAGCCCAAGAAAACCAAAAGATCAGCCGCAGCCAATAGCAGGTTTAATTTTGGTGTTGGCCCTAAGGTTCTCTCGGAACATTTGATTTTGATTTTATTTTCAACAATTACAATTTTTTTATTGTGCCTTAGGTAAATTAGATGCCGTAATGGGCCAAATAGCGCCAAACACCGTAGCACGACTTTCTAAAAATTTTTGACGAATTTTTCTAACGTATTTTCCAAGTTTTACTGCGTCGTAAAAGTTATATTGCGCCGGACTGGTGACATTTTAGGGTTAATTTATCAAATTTGGCCGCGACACTATAGGTTTGGCGTAATACATTGGCCTTTGAACCCAAAGCGCTTTTGATAACGAGAAACTACAAGAGAATCGGCTGCGGTCGCAGTAAGGCGTAGCAAGTCAGTCACTTCCGAGACCCTTTAACCCTCAAAGTTTAGCCCCTCTCAATCACCGGCCAGCAGATGATCTTCAACGCCGAGGAGGGACGGGAAAATCATTTTGGGCTGCTGGCCAAAGAATGGGCCGTCAGCTAGGATAAATGGTTTCCGAATACATTCTATTTACAATTAATAATCAAGAGGCGGGGGTACAAGGCAAATCGAATCAGTTACAGTGTGATTCAGTGACATTTGAAAAGTTGAAATTCGAACGTTATTTGGTTTTTCAAGTTCTGTTGATGTTGCCTTTAATTACATATGTATATGGATATCCTCACACCCTCTCGCTCCCTCTCGTCCTCTCTCTCTCTCTCTCTCTCTCTCTCGCTCTCTCTCTCTCGCTCTCTCCCTCTCTCTATCCCTCTCCCTTCCCACGTATTTCGATGTTGAAATATAAGAATCCAAAGAACACGTACCGTTCGGAAATTCCTCCCCTTTCCTCCCAGTAAGGTGCAATTCCCATTTTTTCCAGCTCATTTCCGCACCCGCCAATTTTAGGTGAACCCACCGTCTTCGCGGGGCAAATCCCCTTCCCAACTTTTATAGATTGAAACTGACACGGCGCGATATCGCATGGTGG